TAAAGGGCACTCCTATTTGGCATGTGTATTATTATTCCTATAACAAACACTTGCTTTGGATACACGCGAGAAACAGGTAACTCACCGACAATTTCATTGGCTCCAAGGAGACACATGGGATACTGCCTGTGCGCGATTCGTTTTCTCTTCAACGTTTCGTAGGGTGAGTAGTTCATTCCGTAGTTTCTAGAATGAATTAAGAACAAAAACCTTTACAAGGAAAAAACAAAATACTGCTTGTCCTCACAACTCCTCTTCTACATAGTGTTACATGTAAGCATACAATTCGTATTGTGTTTTATCTGCATATGATAAAAATGCTTGTTTGACACACACGCACCCAAAATTACAGCAAAATTGAAAAAGTGGAAAACATAATATGGAGATAATTCGTCGGGAACAAGCCTTTCAAACCTTTCAAAAAGACGAACTCGGAGAAAATACCAAATAAAAAGAACGATAAAAGGCCCTACTCTGTCTTAAGAAAACATTTAACAGTGTAAAGACCACATATAAATCTCGATGTCGTCGACGTCAATGAAGCTTTTTTCTCAAATGTAGCTTTATCTGGAAAATCCTTATCCTTATAATACTGACCTTTAGGAAGCGTCTTTACACCGTTTAAGTAAGGGACACCATTTTATGATTAAGGTGAAGGGAAACTTAAATCTTATCAATCCTGGAAGTAGTTTCGTAAATTTTATCCCAGAGTTCGGATGACAAATTGAAGTTAAATATCAAACTATGTGAACTATGCGAGTCTGAAGAAACCTGTGCCTGCTGTGGCTTTGTTAATTCAACCTTTGTGGATAAGTGAATAGTTCTTCTGATTATCTTAAGTCTAATTTTAATGTATCTCCTAGTCATTGAAATTCAAGATATTTACAGGCTCCTAGCTTTCATCTTCATGCCTGATATACGACTGCATCTTAACAATTACCTACAATAAACTCTTAATAACTCTGTCAAACCTGTCTAAAAAAGTAAGAAATGAAAAACAGTTGGTCATATAGAAAGACATTTTCATGTAGCAAGAAAACATTCTAGGGAATCTTTAAGGCAATTTAAAATGTTGCTAGATATATGGTGGTCTCTAAAGCACCTTGTAATCTGGACTGGAGCTAGACATATGGTGGTGTCTAAAGTACACTGTAATCTGGACTGGAGCTGGACATTGGTGATTTCTAAAGTACATTGTAATCTGTGCTGGAGCTAGACATATGGTGGGCTCTAAAGTACATTGTAATCTGCACTGGAGCTAGATATATGGTGGTCTCTAAAGTGCATTGTTAGATATATGGTAGTCTCTAAAGTCTATTGTTATCTGGACTGGAGCTAGATATTGGTGATTTCTAAAGTACATTGTAATCTGTGCTGGAGCTAGACATATGGTGGAGTATAAAGTACACTGTAATCTGGACTGGAGCTAGGCATTGGTGATTTCTAAAGTACATTGTAATCTGGACTGGAGCTAGGCATTGGTGATTTCTAAAGTACATTGTAATCTGTGCTGGAGCTAGACATATGGTGGTCTTTAAAGTATATTTTATCTGAGCTTGAGCTAAACATATGTTGGTCTCTAAAGTACATTGTAATATGGGCTTGAACTAGACATATGTTGGTCGCTAAAGTACATTGTAATCTTGGTGCTGGAGCTAGAAATATGGTGATTTCTTAAGTGCATTGTAATATGGACGGGAGCTAGACATATGGTGGTCTTTAAAGTATATTTTATCTGAGCTTGAGCTAAACATATGTTGGTCTCTAAAGTACATTGTAATCTGGGCTCGAGCTAGACATATGTTGGTCACTAAAGTACATTGTAATCTTGGTGCTGGAGCTAGAAATATGGTGATTTCTTAAGTGCATTGTAATATGGACGGGAGCTAGACATATGGTGGTCTTTAAAGTATATTTTATCTGAGCTTGAGCTAAACATATGTTGGTCTCTAAAGTACATTGTAACCTGGACTGGAGCTAGAAATATGGTGGTCTCTAAAGTACTTTGTAATCTTGGCTGGAGCTAGATATATGGTGGTCTCTAAAGTGCATTGTAATCTGGGTTGTAATCTGGACTGGAGCTAGACATTGGTGATTTCTAAAGTGCATTGTAATCTGGGTTGTAATCTGGACTGGAGCTAGGCATTGGTGATTTCTAAAGTACATTGTAATCTGGGCTGGAGCTAGACATTTGGTGGTGTCTAAAGTACCTTGTAATCTGGACTGGAGCTAGAAATATGGTGGTCTCTAAAGAACATTGTAATCTGGACTGGAGCTAGACATATGGTGGTCTATAAAGTACATTGTAATCTGGACTGGAGCTAGGCATTGGTGATTTCTAAAGTACATTGTAATCTGCACTGGAGCTAGATATATGGTGGTCTCTAAAGCACCTTGTAATCTGGACTGGAGATAGATATATGGTGGTCTCTAAAGGACATTGTAATCTGGACTGGAGCTAGGCATTGGTGATTTCTAAAGTACATTGTAATCTGTGCTGGAGCTAGACATATGGTGGGGTCTAAAGTACACTGTAATCTGGACTGGAGCTAGAAATATGGTGGTCTCTAAAGTACATTGTAATCTGGGCTTGAACTAGACATATGTTGGTCACTAAAGTACATTGTAATCTTGGCGCTGGAGCTAGAAATATGGTGATTTCTTAAGTGCATTGTAATATGGACGGGAGCTAGACATATGGTGGTCTTTAAAGTACATTTTATCTGAGCTTGAGCTAAACATATGTTGGTCTCTAAAGTACATTGTAATCTGGACTGGAGCTAGACATATGGTGGTCTTTAAAGTACATTTTATCTGAGCTTGAGCTCGACATATGTTGGTCTCTAAAGTACATTGTAATCTTGGCTGGAGCTAGAGATATGGTGGTGTCTAAAGTACATTGTAATCTGGGCTGGAGCTAGATATATGGTGGTCTCTAAAGTGCATTGTAATCTGGACTGGAGCTAGACATATGGTGGTGTCTAAAGTACATTGTAATCTCGGCTGGAGCTAGACATATGGTGGTCTCTAAAGTACCTTGTAATCTGGACTGGAGCTAGACATATGGTGGTGTCTAAAGTACATTGTAGTCTGGGCTGGAGCTAGACATATGGTGGTCTCTAAAGTACCTTGTAATCTGGACTGGAGCTAGACATATGGTGGTCTCTAAAGTACATTGTAATCTGGGCTGGAGCTAGACATATGGTGGTGTCTAAAGTACATTGTAATCTGGGCTGGAGCTAGACATATGTTGGTCACTAAAGTACATTGTAATCTCGGAGTTTCGATTTTAGCTAAACAGTTGAGTGGTATTTAGATCAGTTTTGACAGTAGCTAGACAGTAGAGTGTGTTCCTAGAAGCAATTGGGACTGTATCTAGACACTTAGGGGGTCTCTTAGGCAGTTTTGGCGCTAGCTAGACAGTTGAGTGGTCACTCAGGCAGTTTATAATGTGGGTGGTCTCTAGACAGTATTTCACATTCAGGTTGTCTCCATGCAGATTTGACCTTATTTCTGTACAGTTGGGTGGTCTGTGTGACATTTTTAACTGCCTATACTCTCACTCCAAAAAAACAAATTGTGTCAAACATGTAAAAAAATACATTATTTAGGTCAAGTACATAGAATATATATCTCATTGTGTCCTTCCATCTACAGCTAAGCCGTAAAGTAAAAGCCGTAAAGTATAATTGTGTCTTGATTTAAAAGATATTCATCATATTAAACAGCGGTTTATGACGTCTTAATGGTAATCAATTTACAGACACACTTCACTGTTATTTGTATACGTGTCTGCCTATCCACACGTAAATGCTCTTTGAATACGAGACCCGTACTTGACCTGCCTTTTAGTTCCACTTTTATTTCCGAACGCCATAGTTTATATTGCTCGGCCCGGCGAGGACATTGTCCGATAAAAGTATTAAATATCTATCTATCTGCCTACCAATAGATAACTTTGTCGATTCGTATAAAACTGGACATCAAACAGATTCTAGCTCTCTAAATCCGAAATCGAAATATGATAGAATCGAGAGTTTACATGAAGTCTGGTTGAGCCCAGCTCTTTTGGTGGCTATATATCCCTGTGTTATACTCACGGTGGAAGCAGTTCCGGTAATAGTCGCTCCATCTCCGCCCATAGTTCTGGATATTGATTTCTATGACTTCCCTGATCAACAATCACTTCCGCCTCTCCACTGGAAAAAATGTCAACTTTTATTTTATATTTTTAGCTCAAGAATGCTTCTTGTTCTTTGTCGCATTGCTTTAACATTGATCCGAATGTCGACTTGCGTTATTAACCTACCATAGCTTGGGAAGTTACATGTATATGAGTTCAACTAGTTTACATGACAAAGTCAATTATATTTCTTACTTACAAAGAAGGTGCTATATCTGTTGTCAGTTCTATGTATTAACGTTTATATTGTTTTATTGATTTATTAATTTTCAATGATTTTTAAGTTCACCTGACAAACATCACAATCCTTTTTGAAGGCACACTTGCATTATTACATTTGTATCTCTCATCTTACATAAAACGTAGTCTCGTTTGGAGAAGCCACAATACGTGGTTTCACAGAGAGAATTCATATCAGTGAAATAAATCAAATGTCAAACTTGTAGACATCAATCAATATATAGATATAATATGGTAGGTTTAATCTATTTTCCGAAATTGGTAAATCATACTTAAAAATATACTGCCTTTATTATATATAATCATAACTTAACCATCATCGTTATATAACCTCGTGTGTAACATGACGTCAGTACATATGTTACAATAAGTAGTTAGATTCAGAGCATAAGAGAACTAGAAAACAAGTGATCATTGTCGTACAGAAAAGCACGAAAGATTTAATGTTTCAGACCTCCTTATAAAGTAAACATTGTCCACTTCCTGTCTCTGCTTTGTAAGCCGACAACCGTACTGGAAAGTGTCGCTCTTCAATGATATCGCCATTGCTTTTCTCTGTCGGGACGTCCATTGTTCAAACAGTGGGTTGCTTTCTACAAATTCTGTCTTCTCTCGGAACTCCTTCTCCAACACGTCTCGGACTGACCGGTTGTAGAGCGCTCGGTCAATGACTAGAAGTTCTGAATTTGTGTCCACTACCACACTAGCCGTCCGTATACAGTCTTCCTTTATAAGTGCTATCTCCCCGACTGTCTGTCCGTCCCCTAAAACATATCAACAGCGATAAGGACATCATTAGACCGAAAACCCTAATTATATGATAGTTCTTTGAAAAGTATTTTTAGGTGAAAATACTTATCACAAATCAGTGCACTTTTTTATCAGAAACTGATTTGATCTAATAAACTACTTCGTTGTTAGTGTTTAATGTATATAATGCTGTACATTATGTAACCATGTGATTCAATATAACTTCAACTCGTGAACTCGGGACGTCTACGTAAACGTTCACCGTTCGTGTTATCATATCGGTTGTATGTCTCGAAATTTTAACAACTTTTATAGGTACTTTAAGGTCTAGACTGGCCACCGTCTCTAGAATATTAAATAATTAAGAAAAAACTAACTCTAATAATTTTGATCACTTGGATGTCAAGTTCTAAACTAGGGGGAGATAAGCTAGTTGTAAAATGCAGTCGAGAAATTCTTCATAAAGACTTAGGGGCTGGTGGCCAGTCTATTTAAGGTCTTGTAAACATATTTAGATATATGGATTTTCAATCGTCAAACATTAGAAACTATAATAATCACACTAGTATTTGTCCCCTAGGTCGTAAGCCTAAACCCGTACGTTTGATCTAATTGGTTAAAATAAGCAAAGCGATAATTCTGTAATATGTTTAGGTATATGAAAAAGTTGGTTGTAAGAAGCAAACTGACCAGATGTCCACACGTGTTGTCCGAGCGCTGACCTTTCCAGTTTGACCTTTGAACAAACTCTCTCCACATGTTGACGTATCTCCTGTTCGTTTTCCTTGTCGTGGTAGACGTAAATAGATACCTTTCCCTTCAGAATGATGTATAATCTACAATCAAACGTGTCAAATATACCGCTTTAGAACAGAATTTAAACGAGTCAATTATACCGATATAGAACCGAATTCAAACGAGTCAAATAAACAGCTATAGAACCGAATTCAAACGAGTCAAATATACCGATATAGAACGGAATTCAAACGAGTCAAATAAACAGCTATAGAACCGAATTCAAACGAGTCAAATAAACAGCTATAGAACAGAATTCAAACGAGTCAAATAAAGAGCTATAGAACCGAATTCAAACGAGTCAAATAAACAGCTATAGAACAGAATTCAAACGAGTCAAATAAAGAGCTATAGAACCGAATTCAAACGAGTCAAATAAACAGCTATAGAACCGAATTCAAACGAGTCAAATATACCGATATAGAACCGAATTCAAACGAGTCAAATAAACAGCTATAGAACCGAATTCAAACGAGTCAAATAAACAGCTATAGAACCGAATTCAAACGAGTCAAATAAACAGCTATAGAACCGAATTCAAACGAGTCAAATAAACCGATATAGAACCGAATTCAAACGAGTCAAATAAACAGCTATAGAACCGAATTCAAACGAGTCAAATATACCGATATAGAACCGAATTCAAACAAGTCAAAAATACCGATATAGAACCGAATTCAAACGAGTCAAATATACCGATATAGAACCGAATTCAAACGAGTCAAATGTACCGATATAGAACAGAATTCAAACGAGTCAAATATACCGATATAGAACCGAATTCAAACGAGTCAAATAAACAGCTATAGAACAGAATTCTAACGAGTCAAATATACCGCTATAGAACCGAATTTAAACGAGTCAAATATACCGATATAGAACCGAATTCAAACAAGTCAAATATACCGATATAGAACCGAATTCAAACGAGTCAAATATACCACTTTAAAACAGAATTCAAACGAGTCAAATATACCGATATAGAACGGAATTCAAACGAGTCAAATATACCGATTTAGAACCAAATTCAAACGAGACAATTGTATCGCTATAGAACGGAATTCAAACGAATCGAATACTGTATAACATGAACTGTTCGTTGTTTATAAACATTCGTGGTGTTTGTGGTTACTATTGAACCACGAAAATAAATACAAACGAATTTGGATGATATAAGTGTCTACTGTTTGTTAATATAGGATATCAACGAAAGATTGTACCATGAACACGATCTAAATGGCTTCAAGCCACGAAGGAAAGAACCCACGAACATTTCGTGTTATACAGTATACCGTTGCAGAACATCTAATTAAAAGGAGTCATATATACCAATTTATCGAACAGAATCAACACGCGTCAATATACCGATATAAACCGAAATTCAATTGAAGCAAATATACCAATATGGAAATGAATTCCAATGACGAAAATGCTATATAGCGGAGAATTCAAACAAATCAAATTTACCGCTATCAAACATAACTCACACGAGTTAACTATGCAGCGATAGGGGAAAATAAAAACAACTAAAATATATCCCAATATGGCCTCTACTACAACGAGTCAAATTTAATTCTATAGAACAGAATTCACACAACGTAGATATATTGTTGAAGTACGTAATTTAAATATACATCTATGTAACAGTACCCGAACCCGGTTAATACACCACTATATGATAAATTGCAAACAAACTATTAAAGGTACATACTCTGTTATTTGTTTAGATACATTGTAAAAAAAAAGGGAATATATTGCACATCTTTAACACCTCAGGTATAGTACCACCTAGTTGAACACTCATTCACGTGCAATAAAAACCCATTTATGACCAGATTTTGGTGTACCTATCTCCGTTCTCTCCTTGCTTAATGATGACGTCATCCTGCCCTTTCTTCTCGAACACACAATGACGGATGACGTCCTTGAGGATATCTGGAAAGACATCAGAAAACGTGACACATGAATATGGTTTCTTCGATTTTGAGATTGTGAACAAAATTTCCAACCGATATAACTTATAACTGCACCTGGTAATATTTATCTAATTTGAAAATATTAACTACTAATTCTAGTAATTTTCATAGACGATGCGGCCCACAAAATTGTTTCTGATTTTGATGCTGTCGTGGATGGCAACATTGGTACAGAGTAGGCGTAGTGATGTAAATGTCCGGAGTTTCATTTTAGATCTATTTTTCAAACGTTCAAACTCAACTCTAATTATGTAAAATGCATCGCAATATGTGATTTTCATTGAATACTCTAATAAAAGGGACTTAAGCAAATATCTCACAATAACGACAGTGGTAATGAAACTGTATAATTTTGTTGGTACACCTTATCTTAATCGTGAATGTATAAGGGAAAATACAAGGGAACATGGGATCCAACGATCACTAGTAAATGTTCAGTGACGTTCTACGTACCCCAATTGAATGATTCCTTAATGGAATTCACTAGTCCGGCCATAAAAGTATGATATTTTTACTCATGTACCAGTCAGTGTTCATAGCAGACACTGAAATGACGACTGTATACTTTCTGCAGCGTAGATTGAAGTGTTTCCGTTAGAAGTTAGAAAACCCTGTCCACGTAACGTATCTTTGTTTAAAAAAGAGAAATTTTGGTATATAGGTCATTGACCGTATTGTATTAGAATACATTATACACGCTATTAAAACAGCACCACAATTATAAATATAACACCACTATACTATCAGAAGGGAGTCATTCATAATGGTGTGTTATATAGCGATGATTATCGGTAATTCAGTAAAACTCATACCATTTTGTCATAAAGCTTTTCTTAATATAAAATATTCAAAAAATATTGACATGATTGTAAATTAAATCACAGATATTGAGCGTCCCAGCCATTATTTGAATAAATTGTTATGTAAAAAAATCGTGAATAATACAATATTGGGAAACGGGGTTTAAAGAGATATGGTTCGCAGGTATACTTCCTGTGTATAATAATGAAAGGAAATCAAAAATACCATTTTTTAAATAGTTACGCTTTGATATATCGGGCAACATTACGCTCCAACGTTCCAAGAAGATTATCGGATGGCCAAACACTGCATACCGGGAACGTTTGCCCGGTCAACCTTTCCTCCTTCGACGGTGAAATCAATATTCACCCAATGTTAATTTCGCCCTTTACATTGAAATACAATATGAATTGTTATTGTTATATATATGTTACCTACTAAAATTATGACAAATGACAAATTCCGCCTCAGTACGGAGGCCAGAAATGGCGACAATTAAACTGCAGCGAACAATTCCCGGATTAGATGATGTTGATAGCAGTAATGTTTTCTGATAGGGCAGTATAAGTAAGGTTCCTTTTGATGTACATGAAGGAGACAATGCATCACTATGTCTGATGATTCACAGACGTGATATTTGGACGATTTATTTAGATTAATGGATGCCTTCACCTAACTACTCGAGCACTACGCTTTCACAGAACATTAACACTACCAGCACACAGTTCCCTCGGAAAAGGTCCTTATAAAATAAAATTACAACTGTCAGGATCATAAACCTAAAGCTGTTATGATTAAAATAGTAAAACTATTATATAAAGTGGTAATTTAAGTGTACAAATTTACATACAATATTGTCACAATCAAAGTGAGCAATTCTTATTTGGCGATAAATTTCATGGAAATTGTTGTGAATCATTTTTGTTAGGAATATGTTTAAATCTAATTGATTTTCATAACACAGATAGTTAAATACCATAAAATGCAGTTTAAAACCATCTGATGTATTTGCTTCTAGCATACAACCTAGTTGTACTATGAGATAAATGACTCTTAGTATCGTCATTCTCGTGAAATATCTATTTGCGGAATAACTCACGAGAAAAATGTGTAGCAAGCAACCAAATATAAAAATTATATCTGTATTAGCTGATTATAAATGAACATGACCTAATAATCTGAACATTGAACCTATACAATTTGGTAATATACTATAAATGAATTACACCGTTCAGCTGTGGAGTAAACGGTGGTGTTAGGGGCCAAAAAGTTGGAATCAAAATAGGTCTAAAGTACTGTTGACCAAACTGGGAGATGAAAAATAAATAAAATAAACATCCTTAATGACTAAGAGGTCTGAAATAAGAATATTATTGAGCAGTGCTTTATCGATCCATTTGGTAACGCCATCAGTCGTCATGCATGACGTCATAATTACGCCACTTCAATAGTCTGAAACATCTCATAAATGACAGCTCTAAAGAGTATTTGTTAAGAACTGATTTGTGTTTGAATAACACGTAGTAAAATACACAGGCGTCAGACAGATGAACTAAACCTTTAAGTACACAGGCTTACGACAATAAAGGATCTTTAACAAAATGCATAAACTGGATATGTTATTAACTGAAGATTTTACGTTTTCAGCAAATCATAAATCCGCAAAGAAAAACTGATCATCAATGTTATCAATTAAGTTTACTTCAGACATCAATAGATGTTAAAAATAAGCCTTCATTTGGGATTTAAAATGTTAAAAATATGTCGGGCATTGTTCGGAAATTTTCATGTGAATATCGTATAAAATGCTATGTGGGTCTATTCATAAATCCCCAGTATGTGGTATGGTTGTCAACGATTGATAACCAAGTCAACAACATCATATGAATTAAATAGCAATAGATTTCAGACATATTGATAATAGAATTGTAGTTTATATCTATAGTCGACATCAACATGTAATCAACGGGCTGTTGGTTTGAATAAAAGGCTATGCAATGCCGCCTCAACCTCCGATATGACGGATTACCAAGACAGGTTTATACCAAGAAGATATCGTACATTAAATAACAGCATGATACTCTATATAAACCTGAGAACTCGTTTTCTAAGCCTTAGAGTGTTAAGTAGATTCTGACATTTTAATCGGTAATCTTACATCCTGTACTTACTACTGATATAAGTAATGCTACTGAACTAACTCAATTTATTAAAAGAATAACATTCATATTTACTTAACCTATCATTAATCCATAATGTATCTATTAAGTTTCAATGGTGCAATCACGTGTGGGTTTGTATGTAACATTCATCTTTCGAGGTACAAAGTGGTAGACTTTACAGGCAGATTATTAAGTTATCTGTTTGAGTTGTGGCATGGTTCATTTTATACATATTTTACATGTTATTTAATTTAGAATGACTAGTACTCCTCTATTTTTTAAATTCATTTTAAGGGGTTTTACGCAACTGCCTCTCTGTCTCAACATTGGTTCTAGACTATTTGGATTTCAAATTTTTTGGTCATTAGTATCACCGATAGATCCCAGAAGAATGAATCAGTATACTTCATTTATGGCTTACTGTGTTTATTATCATTTTATCTTATTGTGATAAGATTCACATATATATTTCTTTAAGTACAGCAGACAGAATATCCTTACATCCCATACTACGTTAACGCGAATGAAATATATTTATAACCAATGACACGAACCGACTTTAAATGCCATACGGAGAGACAATTACCAGATAACATTGATAGTGTACTCTCGGTACCACATGTGACACTCGTAAGGATGTATCTCGTTAAACCAATGAAAGAATGCTCGTCACCAGCGATCTCAAACACAGTGAGCATGTCTTTATTCATGACAAATACATTAGTTCCAAAGCTGGAAGTCCTAATTCTGAAGATCCTTAAACTTCCTTAGTGTGGTTACAGTTTATATGATTATACAAAATGTCATAATCTCATTTTTCTGTTTACTTTATTACTCAATATGTTAAACAATACTTAAGTTACCTGTTTCTGTTTTGTTTTATCTTTTGAATCACTGATGAATCCTAATACACAATAGATATGATACTGTAAATGTTTCCTTATTTATTATGTTTTCATATCCTATAACCAGACACTGCTGATAAAGTCTTTTGTTTTTGTTTTTCATGATTAATGCACACACTTTACCCATTATTTGAAATTAACCAGTTTATTCTTAATTAATAGTCTTGCGAAACTCTTCGTTCGTTTCAATAGTAGCTTACGCCAATTTTGATTCATCCCCTACGTTTATTGTAACCTTGAAGGCCACATATACGCACCATGTCCTTCTATTTCTGTAATAGTTTAGACAATTTCGATTTCCAACGTTTTTGTCCTTGGCATCTCCGATTGGTCCTAGAAGGACGAAAAGGTTGTATGATGCATTGTATTCTTCTTTGGAGTACTGCATCAGAATGAGTCAAACACGTTTTGACCGGGAGTGGTACGCCCTTAGTTTTATAACCGAACACACATAACACATTTGAAATGAATACGTAGCGGCTAAGAGGGGCCTGCCTGATATAGAGCACAACGAATGGCATTAGGAACTTAAATAAAGTTTTCAAAATCTATTTTTATCATTGTTTCGAAAGGTCACTCACAAGTATATATCCAACCAGTATTGTTAACCTCTATCTAAGCCCTAGAGCATCAGTGAACACCTCGTTAATGTTAAACTGTCCAATTTACTAGCCATTAATCTCACAATCAATTTCAATGTCGAGCGATAAGGCTTTCATTTCATTCTGCATTACTATGTATGTTAGTATATAATATAAATTAGCTTTTACTAGTGTATGTCCCTGGGTGACAAGAATAACGAGATGACATGATATCGAAGTTTAAGGACCAGTATTATACAGTAATTCAATACAAGTTTCATTTTTACTCTATTCACTTTTATGAAATGTTAAATGTTAATTTAAAAAGGAAGTCTACTGAACCCGTTAAAATAAACTTTATAGGGAAATATATTAAATATGTAAAGTAAACTCATAATGATTTATAATAAACATAGTAAAGTGAACTTCAGGAGGAAGTATTGTGAGCGTTACGAGAAATATATTAAATATGTAAAGTAAACTCATAATGATTTATAATTGGCATAGTAAAGTGAACTTCATGAGGAAGTATAGTGAGCGTTAACGGGAAATATATTAAATATGTAAAGTAAACTCATAATAATTGATAATAAACATAGTACAGTGAACTTCAGGAGGAAGTATAGTAAGCGTTAACGGGAAATATATCAAATATGTAAAGTAAACTCATAATGATTTATAATTAGCATAGTAAAGTGAATTTCAGGAGGAAGTATAGTGAGCGTTAACGGTAAATATATTAAATATGTAAAGTAATCTCCTAATGATTTAAAATAATTATAGTAAAGTGAATTTCAGGAGGAAGAATATTGAGCGTTAACGGGAAATATGTTTAATATGTAAAGTAAACTCATAAAGATTGATAATAAACATAGTAAATGAACTTCAGGAGGAAGTGTAGTGAGCGTTATGAGAAATATGTTAAATATGTAAAGTAAACTCATAATGATTTATAATAAACATAGTAAAGTGAATTTCAGGAGGAAGTATATTGAGCGTTAACGGGAAATATGTTAAATATGTAAAGTAAACTCATAATGATTGATAATAAACATAGTAAATGAACTTCAGGAGGAAGTGTAGTGAGCGTTATGAGAAATATGTTAAATATGTAAAGTAAAATCATAATGATTTATGATAAACATAGTAAAGTGAACTTCATGAGGAAGTATAGTGAGCGTTAACGGGAAATTATTAAATATGTAAAGTAAACTCATAATGATTGATAATAAACATAGTAAAGTGAACTTCAGGGGGAAGTGTAGTGAGCGTTAACGGGAAATATATTAAATATGTAAGAGTAACCTTCACCAGGAACATCTTTTAATATAATTTATTTTGAAAGGAAATATGATAGGACACTACAACAAATTTATCTCAAAACTTCCACTACAATCTAACAACGACTAATAGTAAAGACTACATATTGGTACGATGCGTTTAAATGATTAAAAGCAGATAATAAGAATTATACTAAAGATGTAAAAGTGAACTTCATCAGGTATTATGCTAAACATGTAAAAGTGAACTTCATGAGGAATTATACTATACATGTAAAAATGAACTTCATGAGGTTTTACTATAACCATGTAAAAGTGAATTTATCAGGAATCATACCAAAAATGTAAAGTGACTTAATAAGGAGTTATACTAAACATATTAAAGTGAATTTCATCAGGAATTACACTAAAGATGCAAAAGTGAATTTTATAAGGAAGTGTAATAAACATGTGCAAGTGAACGCAAAAGATTCAAGTAATTACTTAACATGTCATTATGTAATTATAATGAAAAATGGCTAAGCAATTAAACTTAGACATCATATGGAAATATAGCTATATATCCATCGTTCGACATAATGTATTAAACAGATGAAAATAAGATGACAATGCTTACCTTGTTTAAGAGACAGGAAGAGTGGCGACTTATTTCTGAACCATCCAATGAGTTCCTGACAGTCAAAATCTGTCCTATTATCCGGGTCCTTCTCAATCACTGAAACCACCTTCTCGTAGAGAGATGGCATATTGTCTGATCCGAACCCCCAAACAATACAGAATTATTGTACCTAGTGAACCAGCCTAAACATTTAGGTTTCCAAATATGTTGTAGAAATAATGTTTTTGTTCTCGTGTCATCAGTACATCGTTAGCCATAAATTGATATCACGCAATCAGATGATAATTAGTAAGCATTATTTTATAATAACCTATACACATTAGTGTCGATACGTTATACAGAGTTAGCACTGAAATGGAGCCGAGCTGGATTTAGGTCCATTACATAGACTGTCATTGTGTCCGAGTCCCCACGCCAGAGTAAATCACTATGGGTCTGTCTCGGCGCGTCTCCTGGTCATGTGAGAGTAGATCTACTGAGGAGATCCAGACATATCACAGTAAATCTCCAACGTCTCGGACCGGTGATCTACAAAATAAAACAGTCGTAAAGTCATACGTTTCAGTAACATATGATAATTTCCCTATTGCTCCTGTAGTAAAACATAATATACAAATATAACAAATAATTTCATTTCCATACGTTATACATTAAGGATGGGGGAGGACTATTATTAAGATGAATTATAAAAACAATAAGATCACTGCTAATCTATATTTCACGATATGAATATATTCCAGCGAGAAGAGTCGGTTAACAATTAATTGATAAACGATGGACACATATACAGGCAATATGGGTATATGTATATAAATATATATATATATGTGTGTGCATGTCTATTCCTTCATGTACAAACAATGGCTATATATATATGTCTTCATACTTATAGATGTAATACATATACAGGTAAATATGATGTATATTCATATATGTGTATTCAATGGCCACATACATGTACATATGTGTTTATACATTCATAGATCAAAATGAATAGAGGTAAATATATATACACCAAGTATTTGTAATGAACCATAAAAAACGAAAGCGGAAAAAAGTATCAACCGTTATACAAATAAAGAGATTCACACTAACTAAAGTATATATAGTAATAATTAACTGTTCTCAAAGTAAGTTTGATCAAACCTGTGCCTCGTTAGTAGTTCCAGTGTAAAACTCACGTGTTTAGCACGAAGTCTAGCACGAAGTCTATCAGTGGTTCGATCTGTGGGAGAAGTCATTAACAAATAGCATCAGCACTATATCGACAGATACTAAACAAACAAGCATCACTCAGTATAATAGGTCAGAATAAAACCTGTAATTATCGATAGCACACACGTCCATCAGTCTGAGGTTGTAATGTATACCGCAACTCACAAATCCTTTAAGGACCAACTGTAACGCACACTGCGTTAGCGCGTGTAGCTGTGGTGTTTATTGAATACTAATACTTAATCCTTGTGTCCGTTCTCTCAATGCCTTGTACACATCATTCCACCTACAACGTTCCAATGGCTAACAACATCTAAAAGTCCGCCAACAAACAGAATAATTAATAGAATCTGGAGAACTGTACTTCCGGTACTTGATGGCATCAACCATGGTGATCAGGAACCGGTTAAATCATGTTTAATGAGCTTAATGAGAAATTCAGTAAGATTTTCATATAAAAGTTTTCCAGGCATATCTTGAATGATGTTCTACATTTTCGTGTATATTTTGTCAACTGTTACCGTGTTGAACCCCACAACATGTCTGTATTGTTTTCGGTTCCAGAGGTTAACAAATATCAAGGATTCAAATGTTACTCCTTTGTGTCCCCAAGCTAACAGAGGTTGATACACCCCTAGATCCAGAAAGATTTAAACATCTCTGTCTATATCCATATTTCTATTAAAACATTGATTTGTTTTGCAATCAGCTGTTGTCGTCCAGTATACCAGAGTAATTAAGTGTTTTATGTATCACCCCTGCAGCGTCTTTGTTTGTCTTTGAACAACATTGGCGTAAATTAGAAATTCACTGCTCACATGAAAGCCTCGGGATTAAATTATTGATATGCAAGTATTGTTAGCTTGAAACGATACTCAGCTAAATAAAACATTGACACAAACGATGCCAAATTATCAGGTTTTCATACTTAACCTTTACAGACAAAGCTTGCCGTTCGTACATTTTCAATAGCTTTCTCTGATATATCAATTATTAACAAACAACTCCCATACACAGTTAGACAGCAGATGCATATTACATAATCTAAAGACTTTGAAGTTTACATTGCGAAACTTACTGCTGTCATTCCTTTAAGATGTTTGGAGAGTTTATGATGATACTTATCTGAGATATAAATTTGATGTGTCTGACACACGAAGACGGACTCGTCTGAGGCTGACACTGTATTCGTTAACACTACCACCTATTTAATACCTACATACACCAGTACATTACGGGCTGATTATTTGACCATTAGTGTGTCTGAAATAAACACTAAATACATAGTAGTATGATAGATACGATAGCTATTTTCGACCAATCAAAATCATTGTCTATGGACAGGAACAAACAATTAGGCAGTGAGTGTTAGTGAAGGATAACGTAACACGTCAATGGATGCCATGACATAATCACCATGACAACATAGGTATCAATGTGTACTCACCTTCATGACCCTAGCGACGAATCCAAACAGTCATCCTCGTGGTAAATCTTTAAATCCGACTTTGAAAGAATGAATGTGGTTTTTTTTCCTTATTTAAGATCAGATTTCAATTAAAGTTATATTTACTGTATCAATAAGTCTTTCCCGGTGTCAATTTGTTGAAAAGAATCTGTTTTCCTCTTCACTGTATCAAGTCATCTGTAACCTAATTTCCTTCTATTAGATGCAGATCTGCTCTGTTTGTACTTTGAATATGGAATGATATATTTTTCTCTGTCAAATGTTCTTAATCGTTATTACAAAGTCACGTGCGTCACGTCACTGAGGCTTAACACACCTACGGTAGATTTATCGAGCTGAGGTTTATAATGTCTGTCCTTTTCTGATATCCCATAAACGTTGATAATGAAATCGACGAAGCTTTAAATGTGTTCGGTTGACCGGGTCTAGTGATGTACTATAAAGGACCAAGGTAGAGTTCAATCGAAAGTTCGAAAGCACGGTCAATGAAACAGACATCTTTTCTTTAAATGGGTGTCGTATTTCAGTTACTACAAACCCATATAACTTAATTCGGTAAGGTTATCCCCAGTATTATTTAAAATAAAGTACAATGGTATTTACTAACGCGAGCGCGCAATCCCATTAATCAGAAATCACAAAACTTTTATATATAAACTATGCTAATTCGCTTTGCATGATGTGCATATTTTACTCGTGGAAATATATTTTATCTAAAATCTTATTTCTTCCCTTTATGTTCTTCTTTATTAATAAAAAATAATAAGTCAACAGCTTTAATTAATTTTTGAAATGATTCTAGGCCAGTACCAACATGTACATTGTCGTAGCGTGGGGCGATTCTGGCTTGACTTTCCAGTGTATACATATAAACACTAACACCTTTGTTTTTACACATATATTTTACATTTCACCGTTGAACCAAATATCAACACCAACATAGAGAGCAAGATTATATGCCGTGATAGTCATCAATAAACATCCCTCTCCGTACGTCTGTGTACGTACGAAACACCAATGATTGTCAGCACTCTAGCGGCTTCATTCCTTTAAGGATTTTTATCAAACTTCACACAATTACAAAGGACCATAATATATCGGACAAGTTCTAGAATCATGGTTGTCGGGTTAAGGTCAAGGTCACCGTTACTATTTTTAGAAAATCCTTGCCATCGTTCTAGCGGCTTCATTCCTTGAGGGGTTCGGATCAAACTTCACACAATTACAAAGGACCATAATATCTCGGACATGTTTGAGTTTCGGGGTTGTGTCGTAGAGGTCAATGTAACCGCTACTATTATTAAAAATCCTTGTCAGCGATCTAGCGGCGTCATCCCTTGAGGGATTTTGATCAAACTTCATACAATTATAAAGGACCATAATATCTCGGACAAGTTTGAGTTTCAGGGTTGTCTGGTAAAGGTCAAGTTCCGTTATTATTTTTTAAAAATCCTTGTCAGCGCTTTTGCGGCTTCATTCCTTGAGGGATTTGGATCAAACTTCACACAATTACATAGGACCATAATATCTTGGACAAGTTTGAGATTCGGGGTTGTTTCGTCAAGGTCACCGTTACTATTCATAGAAAATACTTGTCAGCGCTCTAGCGGCTTCATTCCTTCAGGGAATTTGATCAATCTTAACACAATAACAAAGGACAATAATATCTCGGACAACTTCGAGTTTCAGTGTTGTCAATCATTTTATTTTATATAATTCCTCTATCATAATACTAACATTACAATTTCTTGTATTATTATTACATTGAAATCAGTCACAAGCTAATTGTATACTTTTCATTTTCCGAAATTAACACCAAAAGGCACCATTTTTATCTATCATTACAGTTAGTCCGGGGACAGAGATGGTTGACCCTGCATTGTTGTATTAAGGTTTTTTTACTGTTGATTTTGGTAGCCAAGGGTCTCTATTTTCAGAAACTGCTTGATGACATGTTGTCACCTTTGAGCATTTTGAGAAATTCAAGATGGCGTCCAAGATGGCCGCCATTACATATAAATGACCATAACTCCCTACCTGTTCATCATAGGAAGGTGATTTTTGTCTCTATACCTAGGTTTTAGGGGTCAAGCTATCCATTAGAACTAAGTATTATGTTAATATCGTATTACATAATGGTAATTTCCAAGATGGCTGCCAAGATGGCCGCCATTACCTATAAATGACCATAACTCCCTACCTATTCACCTTAGGAAGGTGATTTTTGTCTCTATACCTACTAGGTTTTAGGGGTCAAGCTATCCATTAGAACTAAGTATTATGAAAATATCATATTGTAATAGACGGGCACTAATAATTTTGGGTCGATGTCTTGATTAAACCTGTCCTGCTCACCATGATGTTCGTACGGGCTGAGCGCGAAGGTGACTGGCCACTTCATCTGGCAACCTACAAGCAAATGCTACCATACTTCTTTGCTGC